TATATAAATATTACAGATTTGCCTGATGATCATTTTCATAAAATGATAAAATGACATAACATGATAAATGACCAAATTATAAAATCTATACATATTTTTTTGTAAAATAAAATAAATAGAATATTAATATTATTAATGTTATATAATATTTTGCCTAAATAAATTACAAAAGTAATGCTAATATAAATAATTTAAAATCCATTTAAAGTGAATTTAGGCATCATAACATTATAATGTACAATACAAAACATTCATTTTCACTGAGATTTGCAAAAGATTACATTAAAATGTTTTTAAATGATTAGTGTTTTTAAAACTTTAAGTGAGCATTAAATGACAAAGGTAATCTAATTATAATAAATTACACATTCAATATTGAGCATTACTGATTAAAGGGATAGTTCACCCAAAATGAAAATTGAACTGAACGTATTGAGCTCTGTTGTCATCTATTTTTTTTAAGAGGAAAGCATTTATATATATACAGTTTTTGCCCCCTTCCTGTTTTTTTAATTGTTTGCATATTTGTCACACTTAAAAGATTCAGATCATCAAACAAATTTTAATATTACACAAAGATAACCTGAGTAAATACAAACTGCAGTTTTGAAATTATGATTTCATTTATTAAGGGAAAAAAGCTGTCCAAACCTGCCTGGCACTACGTGAAAAAGTAATTGCCCCCTAAATCTAATAACTGGTTGTGCCACCCTTTGCAGCAACAACTGCAATCAAGCGTTTGCGATAAATGGCAATGAGTCTTTCACAGGAATTTTGGCCCACTCTTCTTTGCAGAATTGTTTTCATTCAGCCACATTGGAGGGTTTTTGAGCATGAATGGACTGTTTAAGGTCATGCCACAGCATCTCAATCGGATTTAAGTCTGGACTTTGACTTGGCCACTCCAAAACCTTAATTTTGTTTTTCTTGAGCCATTCAAAGGTGGACTTGCTGGTGTGTTTTGGATCATTGTCCTGCTGCATAAACCAAGTGCGCTTGAGCTTGAGGTCACAAACTGACGGCCGGACATTCTCCTTCAGGATTTTCTGATAGAGAGCAGAATTCATGGTTCCATCAATTATGGCAAGTCATCTAGGTCCTGAAGCTGCAAAGCAGCCAGCCCAGCCCAGCCCAGACCATCACACTACCACCACCATGTTTGACTGTTGGTATGATGTTCTTTTTATGAAATGCTGTGTTGGTTTTACGCCAGATGTAACGGGACACACACCTTCCAAAAAGTTCAACTTTTGTCTCATCAGTCCACAGAATATTTGCCCAAAAGTCTTGGGGATAAACAAGATATTTTTTGGCAAATGTGAGACAAGCCTTTGTGTTCTTTTTGGTCAGCAATGGCTTTTGCCTTGGAACTCTCCCATGGATGCTGTTTTTGCCCAGTCTCTTTCTTATTGTTGAATCATGAACACTGACCTTAATTGAGGCAAGTGAGGCCTGCAGTTCTTTAGATGTTGTTCTGGGTTCTTTTATGACCTCCTGGATGAGATGTCGTTGCGCTCTTGGAGTAATGTTGGTCGGCCGGCCGCTCCTGGGAAGGTTCACCACTGTTCCAAGCTTTCTCCATTTGTGGATAATGGCTCTGACCGTGGTTCGCTGGAGTCCCAAAGCCTTAGAAATGGCTTTATAACCCTTTCCAGACTGATACATGTCAACTATTTTGTTACTCATCTGTTCTTGAATTTCTTTAGATCGTGGCATGATGTGTTGCTCTTTAAGCATGCTTCACTTTGTCAGACAGGTTCTTTATTGGTGATTTATTGATTCAACAGATCTGGCAGTAATCAGGCCTTGGTGTGGCTAGTGAAATTTAACTCAGCTTTCTAAAATAATGTGCTTAATCACAGTTCTTTCATGATTTAACAGGAGGGGGCAATTAATTTTTCACGTAGGGCCAGGTAGGTTTGGACAGCTTTTTTCCCTTTAATAAATTAAATAATCATTTAAAAACTGCATTTTGTATTTACTTGCATTATCTTTCTGTAATATTAAAATTTGTTTGGTGATCTGAATCTTTTAAGTGTGACAAATATGCAAAAAAAAACAGGAAGGGGACAAAAACCTTTTCACAGCACTGTATATAATGCATTTAAAGTGCCCCTATTATGGATTTTTGAAAATTACCTTTCATGCAGTGTGTAACAAAGCTCTAAGTGAATGAAAACATCCTGCAAAGTTTTAAATGTGAAAGTGCACCGTGTATAAAGTTGTCGCTCAAAAGAAAGTAAACTCTGAATCATTTAAACAAGTCGTATTTTAAAACGAATCCCAAGCCGTTTCACGTTGACGTCAACATGAAACATTAGCATATTGCCCGCCCATTTGTTGCGCACGCAGACCTGGGAAACACTAGCACTGCTCTCACAAACGCTGCTTTATCAGGTATTACAGGTATGATGAAATGGAAATGAAATCGACCAATCGGACCACTCACCGCAGATTAGTGTCATGCAAAGAGGGGTTTGGAAAAATGAATCGCTGAGCGAATCGTTTGGGAGTCGTTGAGCAAATAATGTAAAAATAAATGCATATTATAAGACAATGAAAGTGTTTTTTGACCTTGCATGCATGTCAACCTGTTGTTGGGGACTCCCAAAACCTAAATATGAAGCTTTCATAATCATAACCCATAATAGGGGCACTTTAATGACAATGTTTTTATCTAACATAACCCAAACACACAGTAGATTTTATTTTACATGTTATTTTACAAAGACAGTATTGTAAAGTATATCTAAAAGTCTATCTAACCCAGGTGAAAAAAGTACACTTCCATAATGTACTTAAAGTGCTCTATTTTCGCGCACTAATTTTGTACTTAATATACTAAAATGATTATTTACTACTTCTTAAGATAAACTTAAGATTATCTAAGTCTACTCAACTGTGCTATTTTGGGACACCATGAATATAAACTAAAATGAGCTTTTAACATACTATCTCTATTTTTTTTTTTATTATTATTTAGTCACCGCGTGTAGTACACTTGAGTGTACTAATGTATGAAAGATGGTTCAAGTGTACTACAAGTGGTACATGTTATTTTACAAAGACAGTATTGTAAAGTATATCTAAAAGTCTATCTAACCCAGGTGAAAAAAGTACACTTCCATAATGTACTTAAAGTGCTCTATTTTCGCGCACTAATTTTGTACTTAATATACTAAAATGATTATTTACTACTTCTTAAGATAAACTTAAGATTATCTAAGTCTACTCAACTGTGCTATTTTGGGACACCATGAATATAAACTAAAATGAGCTTTTAACATACTATCTCTATTTTTTTTTTTATTATTATTTAGTCACCGCGTGTAGTACACTTGAGTGTACTAATGTATGAAAGATGGTTCAAGTGTACTACAAGTGGTAACTAAATACATTTTTTAAATACAGAGATAGTATGTTAAAAGTGTATTTTAGTTCATATTCATGGTGTCCCAAAATAGTAAAATTGAGTACACTTAGATGATCGTAAGTTTATCTTAAGAAGCACTATTGAATCATTTTTAGTATATTAAGTAGAAAATTATAGTTCACAAAAATAGAGCACTTTAAGTATATTATGGAAGTGCACTTTTTCCACCTGGGAAAGTTCAATTATTAATTTTCTGAGTCTTTTCCTGTACATACAAATTTGAGCTGAAGGCAAAACTTGAGCTGCAGAGTCCATGTTGCTGCTTATTTCCCAGGAGAGATTAACATTCCCAATGAATTCCCTACATTACCTCTCCAACATAAATCCACACAGCTCTGGGGCTCCTAAAAGGTGAGAGATGCCCCTACAGATGACACCGCCACATTCACATGCACTGCACACTCACTGGGCCAATGTCTAAGGATCTGTTTTAGACTGGGATTCTCATCAGGGGCCAAGTTACTGGGCACAAATGTATAAAAAGGGTTTGAGGGGTGTGTTCAGCTGGGTCCAATGGAAAATTCTTGGATTCAAGCCATGTGAGGTACACAGGGACAGAGAGAAAGAAAGGGAGATATAGCAAAAAGTAACCAGCAGAAAGTTCTAGCTCATTTATTTTTAGTCAATCTGTGATTTGTGGTGTTAATGATTCATGGTGAGGGGACAGAAATAGGGGAAACAGAAGGTGTTGGCGCCACCTTGGCCACACTCCAGTAACCCTGCAGTGGAGTAGCTTGACACAGGCAAGAGGTCGCAAAAAAAGCAGACAGGAAACAAAGAAAGAAAGAGTACAGGAGAAGTACTATTTACAATCAACAGCAGTGCGTGAGACAGAGAGAAAGTATAACAGTGTTTGAAATTCAGTTAGGGAGGCGGACTTAATTTGAGAGTAAACCGAGGAGGTGCTGACTCACGTCACTGGAGACTTTGGACAATTAAGTCCAGACAAACATAACCTCCCCTCTGAGGCGAACACAGACAAGTCTCTGTTGATGTCACCATCAACGATGGCATATGACTGAGACAGCCACTTCAAGAGGCGGTGTCACAGGGAACATCTACTTCGAACCAGACTTATTCCCATTTTATTGAAAAGCTCCCGCAGGAAGAAACCTGGAACGGTATAAGAGGTCGAGCACTGGACGGACAACAGTGTGGAGGAAGTGCTTCCATGATCGGGATGCATGTCAAAGTGCGACAAATTTAATCTGCTGTCTTTTTTTACCAGGACTAAAGGCACCAAATTTATTAACAAACACTTTGTTTTTTGATAAATTGTTAACTTAGCTAAGCTTCTGCCCTTCAACTTTTGGACTATTAGAACTGAAACTGAAGGAACATTTTTATAGAAATGTCCTCAAAATAAGGCGTGTACTTGAACAATGCCTCCTCTTTCAGAATGAGGACTGTCATCTGATTTGGAATGCTGATATATCCGATAAGCACGCATATCTGAGCTGGAGGGTCAGTGTTGCACATCAGCAGGAGAGAGAGAGCTTCTCTTCGGTGCACTAAGCCTCATCACCTTACCTGCATACCGGAGAGCGAGAGAGAGGGAGGAGGAAAAGCAAAGGGAAAGGAACATCCAGTTCTAGACCAAACAAGTTTGCAAAACATGAGCAAAAGGGATTTAGGTTCAATGAGGACATTGGTTCGGTGCCAGGTTCAAGATCGCTACGAAGACTGAAAACATCCCAGGATGAGGTCAGGATAGTGGATGTGTGAGTGTCCCAAAAAAAGAAGACAGAGCCATACAGACATAATTGAAGAGACAGACAAGAAAAGATGCCTGAAAACAAGCAGACAATCCAGCGGACTGGAAGCTATCTGTCTCACTCTGCTTACAGGAAGATAAAAAGGGTGCTGAGCTTCAGAAGACGTGAGTATTAAATATTAGGCAGGGAGAGCGCACACCATCACACACAGAGGTAGATTTTGGTGCAGTGCAGCTGCAGCGTGCATTAATCTTAAAGCTGCTTTTTAGCAGAACATTATTATTGGTTTATGCATCTGTCCTATTTCTGTGGACTCAACATGATCTTCAATTTATGTTTTTGAGGTTAACAGCATTTATAGCAAGTGCTCTTGCTATTTCAGCACATCTCAGTTAACAAAATTAGGTAGCTAAGGAGCTAAATGGGGTCTGACGCTGACAGCTCTATACCTGTATTTTACTATCACAGGTGTATTTGGTCAAAGGTTGGAGGAGACAGTCCTGTATGAGAGGAGGTATGGGGATCACATGGCTCCTTTGGTGGTGGAGCAGTGTGTTGATTTCATCCGAGAGCAGGGGCTCACTGAAGTGGGACTCTTCAGGCAACCCGGCCAGGCCACCCTGGTTAAAGAGCTACAGGAAGCTTTTGATGCTGGGGAGAAACCATCTTTTGACAGGTAAGAGATTGACATTAATGGACATGAGGTACAACAGAGTAGTTTAAATCAGCATAATGTACATTTGCAATTATTTGTCTTCACCAGGCATAATTGCATTACATAAGGCAAACCAGTGATTTGAAAACTATACATGCTACCTAACAAGATTACCATTCAGAATTCATCATACTGAATTTACTTGAAAATGCTTCAAAATTCCAATTCAGTTTCTGAATTTTAAGTGAGATAGCAAACATAATACAGTCTAAGGAATTTAAAGGGGTCATATGATGCAATTTCAATTTTTCCTTTCTCTTTGGAGTGTTACAAGCCCTTGGTGCATAAAGAAGATCTGTAAAGCAAAGGCGGGGCATAGAGGAGAAACAATAATGTACAGTATGTGGAAAATAATGTGTTTTTTGAACCTTAAACCGCATAAACATTTCATTACACCAAATAATGTTCTTTTTAGCAGCATCATATGACCCCTTTAATGAAGTATAAGAAATTCATATAACTGCAATAAGTGTACCTAGGGAACTAAGATAATTAACTAGGAAATAAAGATTCATCAAAGCAAAGTTTGAATGACTCGACAAAGCCATGTTTGAAAGTTTAAAGAAGTTGAAAAATATTTTCCAATGTACCTTCATAGTGGACATGGTCAATTCAATTCAACTTATAAATTGAAAGGGAGCTGAATTTTCAAATCTAAATGTTTGCCCAACAGTGCTATGTGTGTGTGTACTGGTATTCCCTGCATTATGAGGACCAAATGTCCTTGTGGGGAATTTTTTTTGGTCCCCATGATGAAACAAGTTTATAAACCATACAGAATGAATATTTTTGAAAATGTAAAAATACAGAAAATTTTATGTGAGGGGTAGGTTTAGGTGTAGGGTTAGGGGATAGAAAATACAGTTCGGTCTGTATACCATTACGCCTATGAAATGTCCCCATAATGATAGGAATATCAGTGTTTGTGTGTGTGTATGAGATATAAATACAAATGAAAAAGTAATTTATAAATAAAATAATGTAATTAACAAAATAAGTAAATGCATCCACAAATACTTGAGTGAATTTACTCTTGTAGTGAATACATGTTTGCTCTCCCAGCAGCACAGATGTCCACACAGTAGCATCTTTGCTAAAGCTATACCTCAGGGAGCTGCCTGAACCTTTGGTGCCATTTTCCCGCTATGAAGAGTTTCTTGTATGTGGCAAAAGAATCTCCTCAGACAGAGAAAAGGTATAGTTAACCATGTTAACCATCACTTACATCAAAGAAGAGCACATGATGTTATCTGACAAAATTAAACGGAATTTGTTATTATTGTTACATTCTGGTCATTTAGGAACCAACAATAATTTGTCTTATAATCTCATCCTGTACTTCAGGGTTTGGAAGACTTGAGGAGTCTCCTTTATGAGCTACCTGTAGCAAACTTCAACCTCCTGAAATACATCTGCCAGTAAGACTGAAGTCATTTTTTTTTATTCAAAGATTTACGGGTTAGGTTTTCTATATCTAGACATTGGCATTTGGAGCTTTAACCTAATGTGCAATGATGTGTCTAGTCTTAAATGTTTAACATGGCTCGCATCAGATAACACGGCTATGACACATCTGGGTTCCAGATTCTTAAATGATGTGCAGTCATACTCCAATGTCAACAAGATGAGTATCCAGAACTTGGCAACTGTTTTTGGGCCAAATATCCTAAGGCCTAAAGCTGAGGACCCAGAAAGTATCATTGGAGGTGAGAAATATTTAGGTCTCCATAAATAGGGTTTGTGGCGAATCCAGGTAAAGTCCTGGCTTCAACTGAGGTTTAGATAGCTCTAAAGTTTAGTGTATGTACTCATGTTTTGAAGTCATATGAAACTGTTTGCCTTAAATCTGTGGGACATGCACTTACTCATTCCTCTCTCCTTTACTAGGGGCAGCAGTTGTGCAACATCTAATGTCTGAACTGATCCGTGAGCACAGCTTGCTCTTCTCCCGAGAGAACTGCAACCCTCCTGAAACATCTTTACAAGCCACCCTCCCCATACAAAGACACAGTAACCTTGTGGAATGGGTGCACGAACCACCTGCCCACCTGAGGGAACCTCTGTTGAGCAAAGATCACATGGTCCTTCCAGATCAGACTGTAGCCTGTCCACATAAACACTCTCTACCGTTAAACACAAAGAGGAGAGGGTCTTTTCAAAGCCCTTGTGACAAAAACATTACCCATTCATCAGAGACAGAGCAACAATTTCAAGAGAACTCTTCACCAACCAGCTCTGCTCTGATTTATGACAACTACAGTCAGAACAGCCCAGCACAAGAATCTCTCCATACAAGACATGTACCTACACCCTCCACCCCACTACCTGCCTGCTCTTCTTTGAGCAAAGAACTGGAAGCTGGAGTTCAAATATGTATGCAGTCAAGGAGCTGGCCTGACATGGAAGAACCCAGCTGGGGACCAGAAAAAGCGCTAGGGGAAAGTGGCGGCAGCAGTGAAGCCCAGGATAGTACCTTATCGGTCTATGACAACATAGTTACTGAGGAGCAGGGGGAGCAATATATAGAAGACAGGGAGGCCAAAGGTACTGCCAGTGTGGCTGAGAGCAGCAGCTCTTGGTCCTCCTGTGAGATCGTGCCTTTGGATGGGGGCAGTGGGAGCGGTGGAGCTGCAAGCCCTTGCAATGTCTCCTCAGAACAATTCTCCTCATTCAGAATGGACTCTAGAGAGGAAGAGCTTCGTCCTAACTCCCCTGCCTCATCCTCTGCTCCTACAGATGCGCCTTTAAGCACCGGCAGCAGTGAAGTCTTTTTACCAAATGCTCCCCAAGAGCCCCTGGGCTTTCCAGCTTCCCATGCAATGCAGTGCCTTGTTGCAGGGCTTCGTCAACAGATGACCAGGCAAAAGGCAGAGTATGATGCAAAAATCAACAGGTAAGATCACTTCATCAGTAGTCTTGGTACCTGACAACAGGAATTGCAAAAACAAAATAGACTGCAGAGATAGGCAATATTGTTCCTAGAGTGCCTATGTCCTGCAGAGTTTAGTTCCCACTTGCCTGTAGCCTTAGTGATTCTGAAGACCTTGATTAGCTTGTGTGTTTGGCTAGGGTTGGAGCTAAACTCTGCAGGACAGTGGCACTCCAGGACCGACGTTGCCTATCCCTGGACTAGTGGCTTGTAAAAATCAAGAACAGTGATGGTAAAACAGTTAAACAGATTGAAAAACAGGTTCAGCCTTTACACTAAATTTGGTAAGTGGGCAAACAAGAGAAATTAGATAAATGTGACTTCAAAAATTACAGGCAGGTGTGTTGGAGCAGTATTGGATCTGAATGGGGTAGGACGGTAGCACTCCAGTAACTCCAGTAGCAGGATTGGCTAGCCCTGCATTAACGCAGTCTTTCCCAACCCTGTTCCTGAAGGAACACCAACAGTACCTTACTTTGCAGGTCTGAGTCTCTAACAAGCCGTGTTGAATCGGGCATGTTTGATTAGGAAGAGTTCGAAAATGTACAATGTTGGTGCAATGTTCAGGGTTGAGAAACACTGGATTAATAAATAAGTGTACCTGAACACAGTATGGTTACTCCATTCTCTGTCTCCAGGCTGGAGCAGAGGAACAAGTTACTTCAGGGGGAAGTTGCAGGGCTGCACTCAACTCTGGAGCAGCAGCGGCGCTGGGTCAGTGTGGCTGAGATCAAGATGAGAAATGTAGAGCGAGCCCGTGCAGACGCCGATAGACGGAACACCACTCTGCAACAGGAAATGGAGCAGTTCTTCGAAACATTTGGCGAGCTTAACTCAGAGGCCCGGAAAACCAGTCGCATTGTTCAGAGTTTTTGAAACATTCGTGTGCTGTGCTACAAGACCAACCTTAGTAGCATATTAAGGTTTCATGGTTTTAAAGCAGTGTTTTTCAACTCTGGTCATGGAGTTACCCCCAGTAGCATACATTTTTGATGTCTTTCTTATATGATACCCCCATTCCAAGTCTGGGTGTTTCTACCAACAAACGGAGTTGAATTAGGAAGACATAAAACATGTTCAGTGTTACAAGTACTCCAAGTCCAGGGTTGGGAAACAGCTATATTAAAGTAATAACTGCTAAAAAAAAAAAAAACAGGATTCTTTTTCAGGGCTGTAGAAATGAGGATGCATTCCTGAGGGAAACCATTTCCCCACTTTCAAGTACAGTTCTGTTGCCTGAACGACTGTGCAGACCAGCATGTTCAAAATAATACTAAAGGCAATGTTTTGCCATTTAAGTGATCAAAGACAATGGAATGACCCAAAGTAGGATAAAATTTCATGTCTAGTAAGCATGGATGCCATATTTGAGAAAAGAGATTCTAATGAAAACTAGACCCTAGGGATGCTCTTAATATAAATGAGCTCGGACTTAAAAAGTTTCTACCCTGGCTGAGGGTCACTGTACATTTTATTTAATTGGGACCCATGTAGATAACACAAGACACAGTCATACCTTGAACACAAACTTGATCAACTAAGACAAAAGAGCTTAGAAATAAATAGGCTTCTTAGACTTGAAGCAGCTCTGCACAGACTGATCGGTGTATGACATCAAAGTACAGCTAGAGCGATTGGAGAGCAGATGGCTCCGTATTCTTTTGAATCACTCTTGCCTACTTTTATGTCATACACCAGTCGCCGCTTCAAGTCCAACAAGCCTATTTATTTCTAATTTCTTGTTTCTTAGTTGATTGTTTCCTCTGTTGGTTTTGTAGTCATTTGTAGTTATTTCAACATTGGTTTCCTGTGTTTGTGTCCCCTGGTGTTCCTTATTGCCTTGGTAACACCCGTGTATTTAAGGCAGGAGTGTCCAAACTTGGTCCTGGAGGGCCGCTGTCCTGCAGAGTTTAGCTTCATCCCCAATTAAGCACACCTGAACTAGCTAATCAAGGTCTTACTAGGCATACTAGAAACTTCCAGGCAGGTGTTTTAAGGCAAGTTGAAGCTAAACTCTGCAGGACAGTGGCACTCCAGGACCGACGTTGCCTATCCCTGGACTAGTGGCTTGTAAAAATCAAGAACAGTGATGGTAAAACAGTTAAACAGATTGAAAAACAGGTTCAGCCTTTACACTAAATTTGGTAAGTGGGCAAACAAGAGAAATTAGATAAATGTGACTTCAAAAATTACAGGCAGGTGTGTTGGAGCAGTATTGGATCTGAATGGGGTAGGACGGTAGCACTCCAGTAACTCCAGTAGCAGGATTGGCTAGCCCTGCATTAACGCAGTCTTTCCCAACCCTGTTCCTGAAGGAACACCAACAGTACCTTACTTTGCAGGTCTGAGTCTCTAACAAGCCGTGTTGAATCGGGCATGTTTGATTAGGAAGAGTTCGAAAATGTACAATGTTGGTGCAATGTTCAGGGTTGAGAAACACTGGATTAATAAATAAGTGTACCTGAACACAGTATGGTTACTCCATTCTCTGTCTCCAGGCTGGAGCAGAGGAACAAGTTACTTCAGGGGGAAGTTGCAGGGCTGCACTCAACTCTGGAGCAGCAGCGGCGCTGGGTCAGTGTGGCTGAGATCAAGATGAGAAATGTAGAGCGAGCCCGTGCAGACGCCGATAGACGGAACACCACTCTGCAACAGGAAATGGAGCAGTTCTTCGAAACATTTGGCGAGCTTAACTCAGAGGCCCGGAAAACCAGTCGCATTGTTCAGAGTTTTTGAAACATTCGTGTGCTGTGCTACAAGACCAACCTTAGTAGCATATTAAGGTTTCATGGTTTTAAAGCAGTGTTTTTCAACTCTGGTCATGGAGTTACCCCCAGTAGCATACATTTTTGATGTCTTTCTTATATGATACCCCCATTCCAAGTCTGGGTGTTTCTACCAACAAACGGAGTTGAATTAGGAAGACATAAAACATGTTCAGTGTTACAAGTACTCCAAGTCCAGGGTTGGGAAACAGCTATATTAAAGTAATAACTGCTAAAAAAAAAAAAAACAGGAGTCTTTTTCAGGGCTGTAGAAATGAGGATGCATTCCTGAGGGAAACCATTTCCCCACTTTCAAGTACAGTTCTGTTGCCTGAACGACTGTGCAGACCAGCATGTTCAAAATAATACTAAAGGCAATGTTTTGCCATTTAAGTGATCAAAGACAATGGAATGACCCAAAGTAGGATAAAATTTCATGTCTAGTAAGCATGGATGCCATATTTGAGAAAAGAGATTCTAATGAAAACTAGACCCTAGGGATGCTCTTAATATAAATGAGCTCGGACTTAAAAAGTTTCTACCCTGGCTGAGGGTCACTGTACATTTTATTTAATTGGGACCCATGTAGATAACACAAGACACAGTCATACCTTGAACACAAACTGTTCATACACTGAATGCATTTGTACCATATGAAATAAAACATAAAACAAACAGTACTTTAAGCTTTTTATTTGGCCAGTTGTAACAGATGTTTATTTTTTTTCTTTTCACAGAGAAAAGAAGTCTCACTCTGTTATTGTAGACAGAGGATCATTTAAGGTTTTGCATTCGTTTCAGATAGGTTTGTGATTTGGGTAACTCCCATCATAGCCCACTGACAGGGCACCCATATGTAGCACAACAATACAAAACGCATGATAGCTAAACAGACATTACTAGCACAGATCAGTTAGATATCTATTCCTTTAACAGGATTTGATTGATGACCATGAGAACTGTTTTCTTAAGGCCAACTCACACTGCACTGACAGACATGACAACCAGACACGTTTGTCTGGTTTTGTCAGATCAGTGTGTTACCCCTGTTGGTGTCTGTTGGCGTTGGTCAGTGCTTGATTTCGCCAACTGAAGATATTAAAGCTGCGTTTGTCGGAGGGTGGAATGTCTGAGAAGTGACATACTGTAATCGGTTGGCTGTCAGCATCTGTTAGTGCAGTGTGAATTGGCCTTTATGAAGATAGTCTGAGAAGTAAATGAATATCCTAAAAGTGAATAATTCTTCAAGTCATTACTGATTCCACCTCTAGTGACAGATTGTCAGTGACAAAAACACACTGTTGTTCACAAACACACCCCCCTCTCCCCCAAGGGAAACAGACACCTAAAAGAAGAGAAAGTAAGCCCTTGAGAAAGTGTGAGCCAGCTTTGTTCGTTGTCTTGAAGGTCTCAGTGCCACAGAGGTCCATCACGAGTGTTCATAACAGGAATCAACGAGTCCACAACAGCGAAACTAATGTGCACGAGGCTCCGAAATTAGAATGGAACACAATGCACTATTGCGTTGTTGTAATACATTATCACTCTGCTAACAGTAATGTGAAGCACCAAAAGAAATCTCACAAGCTCAAGGAGACCAGGAAATGTGATGTTTGAGAAAACAGACAAAGTGGCATGGGTAGCAAACATCCCAGCCTGCTAAAAAAAGAACTTGATTGTAGGTACATTACCATCAATCATTTTGTGATCTCCAGGCCAAGCTGTAGAGACACTGATAGTGAGAAGCTTAAGGCATGAAAATTATGGTGATGCTAAGTTCATCCTCCAGTCCTGTCCATCAGTGAAGGATCTACCTACCGATATTCCCATTTCAGTCAGTCAGAAGAGCTTGGAGGCACACAAACTCAACAATACACTCATATTATCCTCCAGAGGCTCTCCAATCATGTACAACCAGAAGACCGGTTTCTGCAATGACCTCAAGTCTGGGATGAAGAGGGCTTGTGTTATCATGCATAAAAATGAATGAGTACAGGACACTTCATCATACATATCTACAACACTGGAGGGAAAAGAAAGCAGGGAGGTTGAGGAAACTGATGGGGTGTCCATCCTGAATACCACTGTTCACCATAGCACTGAATCACACAGTCCAAAACAGGTCTCTAAGCGCATGGTTACCCACAGTATATCACTGAATCGCAAGTCTGTAAACAGTAAACTAAGGCTGAAGAGACATATATAAAGGAAATGAAATTATATGGCCTTGATAATTCATACAAACATTAAAATCCGTCAGTTTTACTGAAAGGACATCTTTAAGAAGAGGAAACTGAAGAAATGAAAAATCCGCTGACAAGTCAATTTAAAAAAAAAAAAAGAGAGGAAAGGAACCATAAATTTGCTTTGTACAACATTCTTATGGGCTTTTCAAGTTGGAGATTAAAAAAGGCAATGGTTTGCATTAGCTCATGCAATTAAACGTACAATCTTACGAGATACATCATGAACTTGTCAGCGGTGGTTAATTACTCTTGGAATGAGGAATAGGGGCTTTGATTAGGATGTTGCATCCACAATTTTCCATTGGATATCTAAAAGTTTTCTGTTCTTTTTTTTTTTTTTTAAACAGAATATTTTTCACTTTTAAATGTCTATGTGCAATTTTCTTTTTAAATCGATTTCAAGTTCCATCTACATAGTTTGTTTTACAGTACATATGCTAAAGCATATTCAGAAGCTGTAAAATTCTTTCCACAGCACAAAGAAAGAAAAACTGAACATTTACACAAAATCTATGTACGTATATATACATGACTACACCCTAACCAACTGAAAAGCATCATTAGGTTCTCTTTTAAAATGGGTGTATGGTAACTATGTACAGAGGCAGGCACTATAGTTCTGTTTCTAGGTGTGTTTAGGCATATTTCAGTGATCTGTAGTTCCATTGTCTGTCTAGAAAGTGTTCTTTGTTAATATCATGCAGCAATACTTGTAACAGGAACTCATTCCAAAGGGGCTGACTAGCTATAAAGTTGTCCATGAATTTATATCTGTGCTTCTTTTAGGTGATGAAATGAACGGTAATAAAAGCTGTATCGCACAGAGAGAGAGAGGACATAAATGACAGGGATAAATCCAGATATTACACATGCTGCTGCAATAACGCCACTAGATGATTTCATCTTAGTTTATATGAAGTGAAACGTGAATGCATTAAAGCATAAACCTATTATCTATTATTTGCCCATTTATGAACGGAGTTATTTTAAAAATGTAAAACTAAAACTGTGAAGATGCAGTCAAACATAAAATAAATGAATAATAAAGATTTTTGATTTTGCTGTTGGTGTGTAATCTGAGCTTTAGCCACAACAGACGTGTCTAAGAGCTAATATTACACAAATATC